GAACAGAAAAAAAAGTTGAAAGAGAGAGAGAGAGAGAGAGAGAGAGAGAGAGAGAGAGAGAGAGAGAGAAAGAAAGAGAGATGGAAAAATAAATAATTACGTAGGTAAAAGAAAAGAATGGTGAAGTAAAATAAATAAATCAACCAACCAATCGAACAATCAGCCAACCAGCCAACCAATCGACTAACCTTCAATCTATTATCGATTCGTATCATACCGAAAAGGACCGTTACCAAAACGATACCGACGATGACGCAGATGACCAGGTCACAGAGCATAAAGGCCTTTATGACGTCACCGGTCTTTCGGCAGGGTACGTCCAGGTGCAACCTTATGACCCCCAGTTCTGAATTTTTTTTTAAATTCAGTATATATTTTAAATTATTTTCTAAAATTTGTAGTTTTTGTAATAGTTATTTTTGTTGGGATTCTGTGACAGATATCATTAAATTTTTCTAGATTCTCTAGATTTTTCTAGATTTTCTAGATTAAGATCTCTAGAATTTGAAATTTGTAATTTTTCATAAAAATTATTTTTGTTGAGGATTTTTTGTCATGTTAATATCTTAAATTGTTTAAATTATCAATTTATTTTTTAATAATTCATCAATTCATTCATTCATCAATTCATTCATCCATTCATGGCAATTACTAAAAATTACTAAAAAATAAACTATACAAAAAAGCGAATTATGAAATCATGAAAAACCCAAAAACTCCTAATCCACCAAAAATATGAACTACGGCGGCGACGAAGCACATAGCGATGACGAATCTAGTGATGGCGTCTGCATTCGAACCATCGACCAGCCTCAAAGTGGGCAAGTAACTTACCCTGGCGTAGGTAGCCCCCAGCCCTATTCTAAACAAGCAGACGATGATGGTGATGTTTGTAGCCACTGCTATGGTCAACATTATTTGCCGCTCTGATTCGCCCAACATGATTTTAAGTAGATAGCCCATTACGACGACCTCACTGATGATTACGATTTTGATGATGGTGATGATAATAGTTGCGGTAATGATTATGATAGTGTTGTGATGATGATGATGATAGTGACGATGGTAGTGATGGTGGTTAAGAATTCACGTCGGTGATGATTATGACGATGTCTGTGATGACTAAAATGACTAGAAGACAGAATGGGGCTGTTGATGACGAAAACAAAGATCAAAAATATATAACTGATACAGAATATTTTAATTTTTTGCCAGTTCTTCATCCAGCATTATTGAATAACATTTTTTAAAATCATTTCTTTGGAAATTTCCAAAAAACCCAAAAAACAACACACAACCAAAACATGTTTACTGAAATGACGCTATTTTTATTACTGTCCTTGCGCATTCTAATTATTTTAATATCATTTTTTAAGAGTATCTTTGTGTGTTTGTGTGTGCGTGCGTGTGTGTGTGTGTGTAAGCCGTAGCGTATGCGACATTCTATTATTTAACATCTCGCTATTATTATTAAACATTGTTTAAAAGTTTTAAATAAAAATTTTGAATAATCACGAAACCAACAAAACAGAGAAAAAGAGACAGGCAGAGACGGACAGACAGACAGACAGACGAGAAGACAGAGAAAGAAGAAAAGAAAGAAGCAGACAGACAAGTACAAGTTCAGACATACTGACAC